TCCATCACCCATGTCTCACCTGCGTGGGGGCCAGGCCAGCCTGGCCTCTCAGGGGACAGAGAAAGTGGGGATGAGGGAAAGTGAGGGGTGAGGGTCCCCCACCCTGGTGCCCCCCTCACCCACTGCAGCAAAGGGAAAGAAAGCTGAGGCCGACAGAGAGTAAGGGGCGGGCAGGACTCAGTTCAAGGGGCGTGCTCCCCGTGCTGCGTGGCTTCGGGAGCTTGCTGCTCCACTCCGGACTTGCGTCCTCACCCGTGAAATGGGCATTTGAAGGGCGCTTGCCTCACACACAGGGTTGGCCATGCTCATCTCTGTAAAGCTGCCAGCACGGTGCCTGGTAACAACCCCATCGCATGTTCTCCACCTCAGGTCAGCTGGTGGGTGTCACTGACTCACACTGGCCCTGGGGAGCTGGGAGGCCCAGAGGGAGGGGGAGGGAAGCCGCGCGCTGAGCACCCACTCTGGGCAGGTGAGAACACTGAGACACAGTGCAGGGAGGGTGCCCGGCGGGGGTGAGGCGGGGGGAGACGGGCAGCAGGACCCGCATGGAGGCTGTGCCAGTCCAGGGAGAGTGGGATCCCACACCCGCTTGGCAGGGGAAGTTGAGGCTTCCCAGGTACCCCCAGAAACACAGACACTCTGAGTCAGACAGACTCACAGACACACAAAGACACACAGAGACATATAGACACACAGGGACACCTCAGAGTTGGATAGATACCTCCACAGACAGACACACAGGGACCTAGAGACACACCCAGACAGACTCATGAAGACACAAAGAAACCCAGAAACACACAGAGACCTCGATGAACATGGAGGCACAGAGACAGACAGACACACAGACATAGGCACTCAGCAAGCCCTCTCCTGGGCCTTTCTCAGACAAACCCTGGTTCTTGCCCAGCTGGTCTCATCCCCTGTGCCCCTAGTGGACATTTATGAAGCACCCACTGTGCAGTGGGCCCTGTTTAGGTGTTAGGGTCACTGGGGGATCAAAGCTGAGCCCCCTGCCTTGGGGGGCGGACACTCTCTGGGGGCTCGGGCTCAGTACTGAACAAGGGGGGGAAGACTGAGGGGTCAGCCGGGGGATGAGGGGCAGGGTGGAGGAGCAGGACGGCCTCTGACTAAAGGCCCCAGGAGGTGAGTGTGGGGGCTGCACGGATGCGCAGGCAGAGTGTCCCAGGCAGCAGCACAGCCAGTACGGCCGCCTTTCCGTTTCTCATTCCCCCTCTGGCCACCTGCCCCAGTCCCTCCTCAGGCCATTTGGAGGGGAACGGGGTCGGGGGGGGGGGAGAGGCACGCGGGGGTAACGGTCCCTCCGGGTATCAGCCTCCCAGCTGGCCTGGTTCTCTTACATTCCATGGACAGGGACACGACAGGGCTCAGAGAGGCCGTGTGGCACACCTGAGGTCACACAACACAAATGGGGACCCAGGTCTATAGGGAGAGGAGCCCCCCCACCCTTGAAGGCAGGATTTTTTTTCAATTACGGTTAACATTCCATATTATATTAGTTTCAGGTGTACAGCATAACGGTTAGACATTGATATAACTGACAATAAGTCTAGTACCCACCTGGCACCATAAATAGCCATTCAGTATTATAGACTATATGCTGCACGTTACATTCCTACCACTGCTGGGTGACCACCAGTTTGTACTCCCTCGTCTCTTCACCTTTCTCCCCCAGCCCTCCAGCTGCCCACCCATCTGGTAACATTAAAATGTTCTCTGTGTCTATGAGTTTGTTTCTCTTTTGTTTTCACATTTATTTTGTTCTTTAGACTCTGAGACCAGAGATCTTGATTGGCAAAGATGCGCTGGACGGAACGATCAGGCCCTGAGATGGCAGACAGCTGCCTGGCATGAGGCACTAGAGCGAGTCACTTAACAGGCTGCTGCAGTGCCCGGAGAGGCAGTGACAGACAGGCAGACATCCAGGACTTCAGTCCCCAGCCCGCAGGAACAGGCAGCAGCCGCCCTGGAGACAACCAGAGGGGCCAGGTCCGGAGCGGCAGTGATTTGGAGACCGAGTCAACGTCGGGGTGGGAGGGGTCTGACTCAGTGCAAGGCGGATTCTGAATGGGGGCTCGGAGTCTGTGCGAGTCTCCTGCAGTTGCGGTAACAAATCAGCAAAGTCGGTGGCTCAGCTAACACACAACGATTATCCGATAGTTCCGGAGACCAGAGGGCCAACGTGGGTCTCTCTGAGTTAGAATCAAGGTGTCTGCAGGGCTGTGGTCCTTCCGGAAGCGCTGCGGGAGAACGTCTCTGTGCCTCTTCCTGCTTCTGGTGGCTGCCTGCCGGCCTGGGCTCGCGGTCCCCTCCCCCACCTTCAGAGTCCGCAGTGTAGCATCTCCAGTTTCTGTCCCTCTCACCTCCCTGTGATGACACTGGGCCCCGCCCCCCCCCCCCATAGTCCAAGAGCATCTCCCCCTCTCCGGACCCTTAACTTAATCAGGCCAGCAAAGTCCCTTTTGCCATCTAAGGCCACATAGTCACAGGTCCCAGGGGTTAGGACGTGTGGGCGCCACTGCATAGCTATTATTCCACCTATCGCAGGGTCCAGGGTCCAGGGTCCAGGGTCTGGCTCCCAGGCGTGGCCGTGATGGCCCCAGGGTCTGAAATAGGCCAGTGTGGTGGGGACCAGCAGGCTGGCTGGAGCAGAGCGGTAGGGACCAGGAGACCCTCGGGGGGGCACCTGGGTCCCGGCTCGTCAGCCTCGTCCACCCTCCCTCCCTGTCCCTGGAATCCTGGAGGGGTGGCGAGGAGGCACGGGGCTCCTCCTTCCCTCAGGTCTGAGCTCTGGCTTTCCCAGGGCCCGCCCCCAGATGCCCCCCACTGAAGTGACTGGCTCAGAAGCCGCTCTGACTCTCCATCCCCACTCACCAGGCCCTGGCCTTCCCTGATTCCCCTGACCCTGGCCATTTGACCCCTAACTCCCCCTGGACACCCTCCTTTCACTCCTGTCTGCGGCACCGCCCCCCCATCAGCCCCCAGCTGCTCCCGCTGCCCACTCATTTTCCATCTGACTGTGTCTCGTTTTAACTCTGTTGTGTCTCTCCAGAAAGAGCCTCTGAGGGCCTTTAGTCACCGGCCTTGCCCCACTGTCCTCTCCTCATCACTTCAGGCCGTGCCTCCGCTTAATCCCTGCCCACTCATCCCTCTCAGGTCACCCCCTCCTCCGGGCAGCTTGCCTGTGGACGGGGCTGGGGAGGAGCCGGAGGAGGAGGAGGGCGCGCGGAAGCCAAGCAGCAGCCCCGCTCTAGACGGTCCAGCCTGCGCACTTTCCCGCAGGCTGACCCCTTCCTCCAGCCTCCCCACTTTGCCCATGCAGTGCCTCCCAGGCCCGGAAATCTCTCCCAGGCCCTGGGCCACCCCATGGTGTTGGAGGGCCTCTCCCTCCACTTTGCTAAGGATCTGCTACTTGTCCCTATTCCAGGGGAAGTCTCCCTGTTACTATTCATACAAATGGCTGTCCTGTTCTGAGCAGCCCCAGGTGCAAGGCATGTGCTGCAAGACAGTGCATAGTGGCAGCAGCTGAAACCAGTTACTTTGTCTTCCTTTTCTGGTGTGCAAAGGGACTCTTGGCAGAGGGGGAGAGAATGAGTGCACATGGAGGGTGGGCAGAGGTGGAAGTGGGGGGCTCTTTGGAAGGGACTGAGGCCTGAGGGAGAAGGACACAGCATTTGAAGAGAAAGAACATTGGGAGGGAGCAGCAAATGCAAGGCCAGAAGCTGGACTGAAAGGACAGGTTCTTCCACACTTGCAACTGAGGACTCTGTCCCTTCTACGCTCCTGTGTATGGAAATCAAATGTCAGCGATATGAAGCAACTTGCCGAAGGGCCCTACCGTCTGGAAAACCAGGACTTCCCCCACCTCCCTGGGATCTGATGCCAGTCCACACAGATTGCCCTGCGCCTCCGGAACCCCCCACGGCTTCAGCGGGTGACAGCGGAGCCCTGAGTCCCTGGTGTGCCTCCAGCCTGCCTGATCCGGATTGTCCTCCGTGCGCAGTTCCCGCGGGCTTCGCGCCCCTGCGCACTGCTAATCCGGGCCACTTTCCGCCCCAGCCACCAAGAGGAAGCCTAGCGCCTTCCCCTGTTTGACTCCTTTATGAGCCGCGCAGCAGAACCCAGGGCTGTGCCACTTTCCAAGCTGCCTGACTCCCGTACCCTACCAAACCTCAGACTTTTTTTTTCAATCTTAAATTTCTTGAGACTTGTTTTGTTTCCTAACGTGGTTTATCCTAGAAAATAGTCCATGTGCACTTGAACGTATATTCTGCTGTTTTGGGGTGAAATGCTCTGAAGACATCAATTAAATCCATCTGATCTAGTGTGTCATTGAATACTGCTGTTTTCTTGTTGACTTTCTGTCAATGGGGTCGTAAAATCCCCCCCTGGGACTCCAAACCGCAGACCTCCCTGCTGCGTTTCAGGCCTCCCAGCCTCCAGAATGGCCCTGACGGCCTCCGAAGTTGCGGTCAGCCTCTGCGCGCGCCTCAGCTCCACGAGCCACGAACTGGACTGATAAAGCCTGCGAGCTGGGACAAGTCCCTGGACTCGGGGTACCAGACACGTCCCCGGAGGTCAGAAGTGGTGTCCGGGCCTCAGTGTTAGCAGATTTGTGGGTCGGAGCCGGGCCAGAAGACAGGACTCTGGAGGAGACGGGAGCGGGGTTGAGGGCGGGGGACGCGTAGCGAGCGGAGGTGAAGCGGGGAACCGACTGAGCTTTGTACAAAGTACAGTGCTACGTACACAGGCAGGTGACAAGGTTCGGACAAGCTGTCTGGGGCTGGAACTCTGCCGAGCGCGCCTTGGGGCGGGACCCGGGGGCGGGGCGGGGCTGGGCCGGGGCCGGCGACGATGGCAAGCGACCTATAGCGGGGAGGGAGCCGAGCGCCGCCGGGCCCCCGCGTCGCCCCGGGCCCCGCCCCGCCCCGCCCCTCCAGGCCCGGCCCCCGCCCCGCCCCCCACCCCAGCCTTTTCCCCGCCGGCCCTTTGCTGGAGCCGAGCTGGGAGCTGATTGTGATTACCTGGCCCTCGCAGCGTGTGGTTCTTTTATTGGCGCCGGTACACCACCCCGCCACCGACCCCCGGTGCACTCGGTCGCCCGCTCCCCCCAGGTAAGCGAGTCCCTCGCTTCCAGAACACCGCCCGAGACGCCGCCCTCGCGGCCAGCTCGGGCCCCTCCTCCGCAGCCATGGCGGTCCCTGCCCGGCCCCCAGACGCAGCTGCCTGGTCCCCCATCTCCCTACCAGGACTGCATCTCGGGGCTTTCCATCTGGTCCCAGGCCCGGGCTGCCTCCTCGAGAGAGCCCCGCTCTCCGGAGAGCGCCGGCGCCGCGCGCGCTCGGGGACGCGGGTGCGAAACGGGCGGAGGCACGGGGGGCAAGCCCGGCACCGTGACCCGGGGGAATCCGGCCGTGTGCGCGCATGGAGCGTCACGGGAGTGTCGGCCTGGCACCAGCAAATCTGAACGGAGCGCCGCCTGGGTGCCACCGACGTGCCAGTGTTGGGGATGCAGACGGCTAGGAACCGCGTAAGCAGAAACAGACCATTCCAGCCCCTGCTACGTGTAGGGAAGGCAGCGCATCAGGGCTATGGGGTAGGTTAGGTCAGGGAAGGCTTCTTGGAGGAAGTGTCACCTGAGTCTGAGTGGCCAGTCAGCGAGGGCTTTTTAGGTCCACGAAGCAGAAAGATTGTGAGGCAGCGCCCACAGCCTAGTGTGTGTGCTGAGCAAAAAAGAGGCCAGCGTGGCTGAAACGCGCGGATTGGAGGTGGGGAGAGGTTGGCCCGGGCCTCGAGGATGGATGGCGAGGAGTGTGTGGTTGCCATTCTTAAGCCTGTGGGGACCACAGGAGGCTTGGAACAAAGTGCGCGAGGAAGTCCCATTGGATCTTAAGAGGATCCAGCAGCCGCGGTGGGCAGAACAGATGGGAGAAGGCTGCTGCTTTGGACCCGACTGGTGGGGTGGTGGATACTAGGTGAACTGAGCGGCCACCGTAGCAGAACATCATCCGTGTCTCCTGCCTGCAGCAGGGGCATGAAGGGAAGTGCCCAGAGGGGATCGCTGGCCTGGCCGCTGGGAGCTGGAGGGGCCTTTTATGGCCTGGACGGAGAAACTGAGGGAGAAGTGGGTGGCGGGGGGGGGGGGGGGGTGGACCTATTGTGGCTGATTGTGACTTGCAAAACCTGTGAAGTGCCGCCTGCTGAGGAAGCCCAGGCGAGGCCCCAGCGGGAGCCCCCACCGGCCCCACCGAAGAGGCCTGGATCTGTTGCATGGGGTCCCCAGAGCTAGGAATTCTGGAGCAGGGACTGTCTCTTTGAGGCTCTGCATCCCCAGCCTCAGTTCAGTCCCCTTCCAAAAGCAGCTGCTGTGAATAAACCAAGAAGTGCCTGGAGCCTCGCTTGGCACACCTGGGTCCGGCAGGCCTAGCCAGGCTGCAGGGAGGAAGCTGCTGGACCTTCCTTGCCTCCCAGCTTACCTTGCTCCCAGCAAAGATTTCTGGAGTGGAGAGTGATGAGGCTGTGGAAATAAGCTGGGAACTTTGGTCCTTGAACTGGCCTTTTGGCCCCAGGGAAAGTTTTCTGAGCCTCAGTTTTCTCATCTGTAAAATGGGCAAGCAATTCCTATCCCTGGGAGTGTTGCTGGGGTCAAAGGAAGCCTTGGTTCGGAAAGAGCCACCCCAGTCGCAGCCTCATGGCTGGGGGAAGGGGAGGCCTCCAGTGCCCGTGGGAGTTCACAGCCCCACGAGCCTCAGGAGCCTCCATTTCTCGCTCTGAGAAATGGGCGTGAGGGTGTGGAACTGCACCCTCCTCCAGACCCAGGCCGCTTGCAGATGGAGTGAGTCAGGCGCACAGTGTCTCCAGCTAGCCCAGTGCCTGGCACGGAGGGAGAGCTGGCCCAGGAGCCGCAGGGATGAGTGTCATCGGCAGGGCAGGGGGCAGGGGGCAGGCCTGGGGTCACTCCCCCCCCCCCCCCCCCCGCTCCACTGCCCCTGGCGAACCCACAGGAAGGCAGGCGTGGGAGTCGGGAGGCACGGTCCGTTCTTATCTGGGCACTGCAGGCTGTCCCCTTTCCGGCCGTGGTTGAGGCTGTCTGGGTGTTGCAGCTGACCGGCTCCTGCCAGCTTGAGTGGCTCATTGCCCTCAGGTTAGTGACTTCACCTCCTCCTCCTGTCTTTCAATTTCTTCCCTGCAAAATGGGAATAATAGCAATCACCACCTCAAAGGTGAGCACAGAGCCCAGCTGGTAATAAGCATCTGGTAAAACGGAGGACGCCTAGGGGGGAGGGAACCAGAGGAGTGGCCTGATTCAGCCTGGGGAGGGGTCAGGAGAGGCTTCTTGGAGGAGGTGGTTGTTGGACTCATTAGTAAGGATGAGTAAGAGTTAATAGGCAGAGGAAAAGAAGAAGAAGAGTTAGTGGGCAGAGAGACCAGGGAACTAGGATGTGGGGGGAGACACTGCGGGGCGCGTGGGGTTGCAGCGGGCAGGAGCCCGAGCTTCACCCGCGTGGAGGTGGTGGAGGTGGTGGCGGCGGGCGGTGGTCCAGGTCAGGGTGGGGCTGGACCAGGGGGAGGCACTGATGTGTGAGGAGTGGGTGGGTCCTGGATAGACTTGCCTTTGGGTGGGATGCGGAAGCTGCTGACTGGGGAGCATGTTCACTTACAAGTCGGCAGTCTGTTTCCAGCATCTGGAAATTGTGGCGCCACTGGAGGCCCTGGTGGTGGGGAGGGGTGAGGCTGGGTCCTGGGCAGGCGCTGGAGAAGCAAGCCTGGAGCCTGGGAGACATTCTCACCTTGGGTGTGGGGACGGAGTTTGGAAACCAGGAGTGGGTGACACACCAGAAGCCAGGGGAGCAAGGGCTTCACAAAGGAGGAAGAGCTCGGCCCCCGCCCTGTTTCCGAATCCTCTGCCCCAACCCCTCCCCTTGGCTGCCCCGGCTGCCCCGGCGCCCCCAAGCCTTTCAGAATGGGCTTTTCACGGCCACCCTTGAATCTGCACTTCAGACCCAACCTGGCTCTGACCTCAGTGGCAAAGAGGAGGCCTCTCTCCTCCCTCAGCCTTGGCTTTGTGCCTTTGTTAATGGGGTGCCCTCGCACTGAACCAGCAGGAGCCTGACTTTCTCCCCACCCCTCCTGGGCTTTCAAAACCATATTTTGCCCAGAGGTCCCACAACTGTATTGAGCAGGGGTCAAGCCCCTGCCAGCCATGCCCTCGGGACCCCTCTGCCTGGCTCCAACCCCCTTCCTCCCGTCTGCCTGCTGCCTGTCGTTCACTCATTCAGCATATTCTTAGGACGTGTCTGCACCAGGAGACAGTGGGGACTAGCAATGAACAAAGCTAAATCCACCCCTTCCCCTGGGGCTGACGTTCTGGGAGGGGGGAGCAGGGAGGTGATGAGGTGGTGAGACCCGCAGGATGAAAAGGACCCAGCCAGACTGGGGGTGGGGTGCGGGGGTGGGAGGGGTGTCTGGAGGAAGAACATTCAAGCAGCGGGGCTGGCATGTGCAAAGGTCCTGAGGCAGGGCCAGGCTTGGCACGTTGGAGGTAGAGTAAGGGGGCTGGTGTAGCTGGAGCAGAGTGAACAAGGGGGAGAGTAGAGGGCGGGGCAGGGGGAGAGACCGAGGCTCTGGGCCCCCAGTGCAACAACAGCTAGCCTTTGGGGGGGGTCCTTGCCCCAGGCCTGCCTTGCAGTTTGTGGGGGAGGGGAGGTTGCTTTGGTACTGTGTGCACAGGTCATTCTGCTCTGGAGTTCTGGAACCCTGATGGCTGAGGGGCTGGCAGGGGGAGCGAAGGCTACCCTCTTCCCCCTGCTCTGGGGGCCGGGGTGGGGGTGCTCAGCTGATCTGGGAGACCCTCTGGAGGGGCTGGCGGGAGTAGAGGAAAGTAGCCAGGGAGCGAACAGTGATGGGGTGGGGGGTGGCGCATGGCACTGGTGCCGCTGGGCTGCAGGCCGGGCAGGTCAGACAGGGCACAGAGCGGGCTGTGAGGGCTGGCTGCGCCCAGAAAGGTGACGGGAGCCCTAGGGACGCAGGGATGGCCGGCGGGGGCCTGGCTGGGCCTTCAGGACAAGCAGCAAAAACCTAGGCAGGTGTGTTTTGAGGATGGCCCTGCCACAGCCCACTGCCACTCGCTTTCCAGGTTGAGGAGAAAGGAATCGGCATGCCCCCTCACCCTTCCCCCCAATCACCCTGCGAGGACAAGGGCCTGCTCACCCTCCTCACGCCCACCACCAGCCCAGGTGCGCCTCAGGCCCCGCCGGCTTCGGGAGCTTCGGACGCTTGGACCCCAGAACCTTAATCAGAGGTGCTGCTGAACTAGGGACCCACAGGATTGGGACTGTCCCCTTACCCTCCACCCTCCAAAATGGGGCTGGGTGCACCTCTGGGCAACCCCCTTAGGCCCTGGCGCAGCTGTGGCTGCTCCTGGCAGGCGCCGTGGGACCACAACTGGAGCAAGGGAGTCAGACCAAACTATTGGAAGACGGCAGGGACAAGGACCTTGAGTGACAGGAGGGAGCAGGCAGGACAGGCTCTGGAAATGTCTGCCTCTGGGTCTCATTTCTCCACCTGAGACACTGGTTAGACGCTGGCTGCCACCACCCTGCCCTCACCTCTCCCCGCTCTCCTCTCTGTCCCAGACGCCCAGGCGTGGTCTCTGCACCGCGAAGCCACCATGGGAGGCCCTGCCTCAGGGCCTTGGCACAGGCCGATCTCTCTGCCTAGAATGCGCCACTCTCATGGCTTCCCCCTCACCTCCGCTGCTCAAATATTGCCTGGTCAAAGCGGCGTCCTCTTTAAAACCTGATCTCTTTCCCTTTCTTACCTTTCTCTCTACGACCAGGCATCATGAAACAAATTAATAAAAGATGGCGTTTGCCGCCTCCCACTCCCACCCTCAGGGAGTTAAGGCTCTGGATGGGGTGGGATCCCTGTGGTGGTCTGTACCCACCATAGAGGATCTCTGTGTGTAGCCCAGGAGCTGGCACACGGGAGGCACCCAGTGAATGTGTGTGAAAGGATGACATGCAACCCCGACACTTCTGGCTACCGCCTGAGAGGCCTGGCTGGGAAGAGGGTGAAGTCGGCAGGGAGGGTACATAGAGTATCAGGCTCTGGA